CTTCTTGGACCCCTTTATGTTCTATAACTCTCTCATCCTGAGAGGTAGGGAACAGGCCTGCATTGCCACGTACCGTGTTTTACAATCCCAAGATCTCAGTATTCAGTTGATCACTAGGAAGATTTACAGATGGCTTAATTTAAAGTCAGTATAATCATGTGGAAAATACCAACGGCCTTAGCCTGGATTCCCCAGGAAGCACAGCCTGAGGCAAAGGCTTACAACTCTACTAATTTATTAGGGAGTGCGATTTCAGGGAGCAGGAGCTGGGGACTGAGGGAGAGAGACCGCAAAGGAAGATGAGTGACTACTGAGAGGAAGACGCGTTATTATTAAATGGCGCTGCTAAATCTGGCTGACTGCTCTGTCCTGGGGGACTGTCCTCTACCCTGCATCACAGGATGGTCAGTGTGCCGGGGAGAGAGGGGAAAGAAGCAACCTTTCCAATCCCTTCTAAGGTGGGCCCAGGATTCTCCTTCTGGGAGGTTATGGGTTGTTAACTGCCCCCTCCCCCAGCACTCCCAGTTGCACAAGTTTGGGTGGGAGCCAAGCTGGGGTCCTGCTGTGACCTGTGTCAATAAGGAAGCCCCAGGGCAGGAGGGAAGTGGCGGCAAACCCGGAGAAAGACATGGTGTGGCCACCACACGCCAGCTTGGAGTCCTTTGGAGTCTAGGCAGAAATGATCACTGCATTCATTGGTGGTTGAGGAAAGTGACAGGTGAGGCCGAGAAGACCTGAAGTGATGCGTAAAAGGAATCTGATGTGTCATCTGAGTAACAGTCGGAACTGTCACTCTATAGAATGCAATAGCCAGAAATGTCAGCAAGAACCTTATGTCTTTAAGAGAATAACTGAACCTGGATTTGTGTTCAAGGATGTTTACAGCAGCGCTGTTTGTAAAGGAAAAGACAAAAGCAAACCAGGAACAATGGAAAAATCATTCATACAATGGGGACTGGTTAATGAGTGATGGTATTGAATACAATACAGAGTTTAGTCTTCCATAGAAAGAAGGATGGTGGGTGGTAGGGAGGAATAGGAAGCAGGGATTGTAAAGAGACACCAGAAATGTTTAGGGGTGACAGACATGTTCTTTGTTGACATTGGGGAGAGGTTTACGGGTTTATACATATATAAAAGCTTATCAAAGCCGGACACTTTAAATGAAGTTTATTGTATGTTAATCATACCTCAATAAAGCTGTTAAAATAATAAACGTAACTGGCCAAGAGCAGTGCCTCTTGCCAGTAATCCTAGCAGGTTTTTTTTTTTTGAGACAGAGTCTTACTATGTCACCCTGGGTAGAGTGCCATAGCGTCCCAGATTACAGCAACCTCAAACTCTTGGGCTCAAGCAATTCTCTTGCCTCAGCCTCCCAAGTAGCTGGGACTTCAGGCACCTGCCACAACCCTGGCTGTTTTTTGGTTGTAGTTGTCATTGTTGTTTGGCAGGCCCAGGCTGGATTCGAACCTGCCAGTTCCAGTGTATGTAGCTGGTGCCCTAGCTGCTGAACTACAGGCACCAAGCCTAATCCTAGCAGCTTTGGAGGCTGAGGTAGAAAGATCACTTGAGGCCAGGAGTTCAAGACCAGACTGAACAAACTCTTTGCGAGACTTTGTACAAAAATTTAAAAAATTGGCCAGATGTGATGGTGCATGCCTATAGTCCCTGCTACTCAGGAGGCTGAGACAGGGAGGTCACTTGAAACCAGGAGTTGGAGGCTGTAGTGAGCTATGATTGTACCACTGCACTCCAGTCTTTGTCATAGAGTAAGACCTTGTCTCAAAAAAACAGAAAAGTACATATATGCCAGACACAGTGGCTCATGCCTGTAATCCTTGCACCCTGGGAGGCAGAGGCAGGTGAATTGCCTGAGCTCAAGAGTTCAAGACTAAACTGAGTAAGCCCAGCATTGTGGCGGGCACCTGTAGTCCCAGCTGCTGGGGAGGATGAGGCAAGAGAATCTCTTGAGCCCAAGAGTTTGAGGTTGCTGTGAGCTGTGATGCCACAGCCCTCTACCAAGGGTGACAAAGTAAGACTCTGTCTCAAAAAAAATTATATATATACATATATGGGCAAGCATGGGTATGATGTATGTTGTTAGGAAATAAATAAGACATATGAAAGTCCCTATCCTCAATGATTGAATAGTCCACAGGAAAGAGTAAGACTTAATGCCAACAGGTGGTGGTGGTGGAGAGGCTAGCAAACGTTGGAAGGATTGGAAGGATAACAGGAGGAAGTCTGAATTATCAATCAAAAAGTGAAGGTAGGGCAGTGCCTATGGCTCAAAGGAGTAGGGCGCTGGCCCCATATAGCAGGGGTGGAGGGTTCAAATCCGGCCTGGCCAAAAACTGCAAAAAAAAAAAAAAAAAAGTGAGGGTAATTTCATCAGCACATGAATAAACTTCTCCTTCCTTCTCTTCATAATAAACAAAAAAGTGAGGGTAGGATGAGAAAGTGGAAACAGAGAAGACATGCAGAACAGAAGGACGGGAGTCTGGTGAGCAGGGAGCGGTCCGGAAACCAGGGTGCTGACTGAGAGGGGACCCTGGGGTCGGGAGAGGTGAGGAGCTTCAGTCCCGGACCCCACTCCCACCCTCCCGCGGGCTGCTTCCGGCAAACCCTGGCTCTCTGCATCGTCTCCCCTTGTTGCAAGGAATTAGAGACAGTCTGTTCCTTACAAGAAACTAAATAAAAAGCCAATCTCATTAAGATAGGATAGTATCCATTTCACCTCCACCCAGAACCTGAGAATGTGACCTGATTAAGGTCAGACTGGATAAGGATGGGCCCTGACTCCAGTGACCTGTGTCCTTCATAGAAGAGGCGAGGACACACAGGGACACGGAGAGGAGGAGAGAAGGCGAAAGAGGTGGAGTGGGAGTGAGGCTGCCGCAGGCGAGGAGCGCTGGGAGGAAGCAGGGAGTAGCCTTCCCCCAGCCTTGGGGGAGCACGGACACCTTGATCTTGGAAGGCTGGCCTCCCGAACCGTGAGAGGATGAACTTCTGTTGTCTTAAGCCACCGAGTGTGTGATAATTTGTTAGGGCAGCCCTGGGAAACAAATTCAGTGAAACCAGGATGTGATGTGGCTCTCTTTCCTGCGGAGCCGGAGCCGTTGGCTACAAGAGCACAGTTTATTGGGGTTCAAAGTCCTAGTGGAGAATCTGAATGTAAATGAGGAGTGGCATAGTAGGTCCTTTGTTTCTTTCTTTTTTTTTTTTTTGAGACAGAGTCTCACTATGTCACCCTGGGTAGAGTGCCGTGACGTCACAGCTCTCAGCAACCTCAAATTCTTGGGCTTAAGCGATTCTCTTGCCTCAGCCTCCCAAGTAGCTGGGACTACAGGCACCCCATAGTAGGTTTTTAAGTCTGAAAGAAACACTCTTTCTGATGACCCAGAAACTAAAGTTAAAAAAGAAAAATTAAGGCCTCGTGCAGGGCTCATGCCTATAATCTCAGCACTCCAGGAGGCTCAGGTGCGTGGATTGCCTGAGCTCAGGAGCTTCGAGACCAGACTGAGCCAAAAGTGAGACCAGCCTGAGCAAGAGCGAGACCCTGTCTCTAAAAAATAGCTGGGCCTTGTGGCAAGTGCCTGTAGTCTCAGCTACTTAGGAAGCTGAGGCAAGAGAATTGCTTGAGTCCAAGAGTTAGAGGTTACTGTGAGCTGTGACACCACAGCACTCAACCAAGGGTGACAAAATAAAACTATCTCAAAAAAAAATTAAAGGGAATCATCTATAATTTGGTAAATTGTTCAGAGAATTCTAGATCTTAGAGCTTCTTGGCGTCTGTTTGACCCCAAGAAGTAGATGTCCCCAGCCACTTGATGCCAATGCTGGTTGGTTGCTTCTGAGAAGTACATATCCACCCCACCCCACATGGAGTTCTTCCACCCATTCTCCAAACCTGGGTGCTGCATGAGAGGGAAACAGATCCCCCCTGATATACAGAATGAGCCAACATGAACCTTCTCCAGGCTTGTGCAAGTAACCAGCACCCCAGTGGAGCTCTGCTTCTCTGCCTCCAAAACCCCACCGCAGCTGCCTCCCTTTGCAAACTGCTCACCCCTCAAATCCAGGGGTAGAAAGAACGTGTCCCAGTCACTTCTTAGAGGCCTTCTAAAAGGAAAGGAGATGAGGTACAGAAACAAAGTCTTCTTGGATTGAAAAGGGGGAAAATATGTGTCTTGTTTGTCTTGAGCTTCTGACAATAGTGGGAACACCAAACAATCAGGTGAATAAATCAGGTTCCACATTAGTTAGCAGAAGAGGAAGTCTCAGAGTCCGGGTTCCCTGGATGGTTCTATCCTGGATGGACTGACACACAGTGGCCTCATCTTGGTTCAGTCTGCCTGGCTAGGGCTTTTAATGTTTTCTTGCTCAAAGGACATTTTTTTTTTTTTTGAGACAGAGTCTCTGGTGCCCTGTAGAGCACTGTAGTGTCATAGCAACAAACCCTTGGGCTCAGGCCTGGTGCTCTGGCTCACACCTGTCATCCCAGCACTCTAGGAGGCCTAAGTGGGTGGATTGCTTGAGCTCAGGAGTTCAAGACCAGCCTGAGCCACCCCATCTGTAAAAAATAGCTTGGCATGTGGCAGGCCCTTGTAGTGCCAACAACACCCTGTCGCTAAAAAATAGCTTGGTGTTGTGACAGGCACTTGTAGTGCTAGCTATTTGGGAGGCTGAGGCAAGGGGATCACTTGTGCCCAAGAGTTTGAGGTTGCTGTGAGCTATGATGTTACAGTACTCTACAGAGGGTGACAAAGTGAGACTCTGTCCACCCCCAACCAAAAAAACCCAAACTCTTGGGCTCAAGCAATTGTCCTGTCTCAGCCTCCTGAGCAGGTGGAACTATTGGCACCCACCACAATGCCTGGCTCATTTTTTTTTTTTAGACAGAGTCTCAAGCTGTTGCCCTTGTTAGAGTGCTGTAGCCCTTGGGCTCAAGCGATCCTCTTGCGTCAATGTTCCTATTTTTAGTAGAGATGAAGTCCCACTTTTTTTTTTTTTTCAGTCTTAATTTTTATTACTCAAAAAAAGCTTCATTTTCTTATTTAGCTTTCTGACTCTGTGCTTGTGCCTTCAACACTTTCACAACGATTTTCTGCTCCTCAATAAGGAAAGCACATTTGATCCTGTCACGAACACATTTAGCACACATGGAACCACCATAGGCCCTGCTGACGTGTTTTTTTGTTTTAGACAACCTCATAAGAACTTTAGGTCTCACAGCATGAACCCCTCGAAGTCTGCCTGGGCACACGCCACATGCTGATTTTGGTGCTTTCCCAACCTTCTTGGTATAAAGGTAAACAATTCTGTTACCAGGGGTTCGGGACAGCCTGGTTTTGTTAGAGGCTGTATTGTAGGAAAGCCTATGACGGTATGTCAAACGCTGCACCATTTTGAGTGCCTCTAGACAGCGTCCCCCTGAAGTCCCACTTTTGCTCAGGCTGGTCTCGAACTCCTGAGCTCATGCAATCCACCTGCCTCAGCCTCCCAGAGTGCTGGGGTTACAGGTGTGAGCCACTGCACCGGGCTGGGATGTTCAATTTTGAAAATGACCTAGCAGCTGTGTGCTTTCAAGTGCATCTGGAAAGGAGGAAAAGAGGAAAGGAGCCAGCGCCCAGCAATTGTCTTCATTTAAATTCACTTTAAGTAGGAGAGCTGGGTGATTTTGTTACAAACCCCAGGATTCCAAGGAAATAGCTTTGACAGTTCATCAATTACAGATGAAACAGGTAATTCATAAACATACACATTTCAGCATGACACTGTCTCAAAATACACCGCATCCAGTGTGACTCTACCCAGGGGTGGTGTAACTACCATCAACAATAAAGAGTTTTAATTCCGATTAAAAATGCTTTTCACAGAAGGAACGATTGACAGTAATGCCAGCCAGGGTTTTCTTCAACATAAAACACTTGCTATAAACATCCACAAATAGCCGGGGAATTTAAAAACCAGGAAGGAAATGAGAGATAGTTATCTCAGGGGAAGGAACAAAACTGCCTTACAAAGACACAAACGTTCTATATTCCCTTGTATTCCATCCAACTTCTGCCTGGCAATTGAGTTGCCTTAGAATGATGGCAAGTGGTGAATAATTTGCCTGACTATATCATCAAACATCAATAGTCATTGGAGTTTAGCGAACTTTTTTCTTTTCCCCAAACTTCTTTCAATAATACAATGTATCTCAAAAACCAGAGAAGTACATAAATGATTAAAGTTCAAGATCTGAAAAAATTAAGGGTCCAGGCCAAAAATGAAGTTACATTCAAAATAAAAAAAGTATTTTCTTCTCTCATAAAGACATTATGCAGGGGGAGTGACCAAGAAAGACTTTGAGGCTCAGCGCCCGTAGCTCAGTGGTTAGGGTGCCAACCACATACACTCAAGCTCATGGGTTCGAATCCAGCCTGGGCCTGCCAAACAACAATGACAACTACAACCAAAAAAATAGCTGGGCGTTTTGGTGGGGGCACCTGTAGTCCCAGCTGCTTGGGAGGCTGAAGCAAGAGAATCACTTAAACCCAAGAGTTGGAGGTTGCTGTGAGCTGTGATGCTACAGCACTCTACCCAGGGCAACATAGTGAGACCCTGTCTAAAAAAGAAGAAGACTTTGAGCTGGGTGCACCTGTAGTCCCAACTACTTGGGAGGCTAAGATGAGGGGATCAGCTGAGCCCAGGAGTTTGAGCCCAGTCAGGGGAGCATTGTGAGACCCCATCTCTATGAAGAAAAGACGAAAGACTGTCAGATTACACTTGTGAATTCTCTGCAGACCAAGTCTGACCACTGGCCTTGTAGGCACAGAAACCCAGAGTTCCCAGCTCAGTCAGAGCAGATCTTTCCATCAGGAAGGAGGATATACATTATTCATCCATTGCAATACTGGCATATAAAACCAGAATGACCATTTAGTGATCACTAATGAGAAATATAACTGTCATCTGGGAAACCATATGATCAACCCGTCCTTTCCCGTAGGCACAACTATTATGATGTCAGAAAAACTATCTAAAACTGGGCGGCACCTGTGGCTCAAGGAGTAGGGTGCTGGCTCCATATACCGGGTGACAAAATAAACAATCTTAAGATATTATAGTTTATGACTCTGTTGGACTTTATCTAATTGGGTATCTACTAGCCATCTTATCCTCCTGTAAATATCCTAGTTTCTCGAATACTCTTTGAACTGGCTTTAATATCTTACTGATTTCTTTATTAATTAATAAGTTGAAAAAGGCTGGCACAGTGGTTCACCCCTGTAATCCTAGCCCTCTGGGAGGCCGAGACAAAGGGATTACTTGAGTTCAGGAGTTCAAGACTAGCATGAGTAAGAGTGAGACACACACCCCCATCTCTAAAAATAGCCAGGCATTGTGGTGGGAACCTATAGTCCCAGCTACTCCAGAGGCTGAGACAAGATGATTGCTGAAGCCTCAAGCCCATGGCTTGGCACCTGTGGCTCAAGTGGCTAAGGCGCCAGCCACATACACCCAAGGTGGCGGGTTGGAATCCAGCCTGGGCCTGCCAAAAACAACAATGACGGCTGCAACCAAAAGATAGCCAGGCATTGTGGCGGATGCCTGTGGTTCCAGCTACTTGGGAGGTTGAGGCAGGAGACTTGCTTGCGCCCAGGAGTTGGAGGTTGCTGTGAGCTGTGATGCCACAGCACTCTATCCAGGGGGATAGCTTGAGGCTCTGTCTCAAAAAAAAGCCTCAAGCCCAAAGAGTTTGAGATTGCTGTGAGCTATGATGACACCACTGCGCTCTCCCCAGGGCGATACAGAGAGACTCTGTCTCAAAAAAACAAAACAAAGCAAAGTATCAGAGGAATGGAAGAAAAAGTATCCAATGTACACAGCCCTATTATGAAATTAATTTATAGCTTTCATATGAAATCTATAACCTAATAAGAGCCTAAGAATACGGGGAGGAGGGAGGGAGAGGGGAGGGGGAATGGGTGGAGGGAGGAGGATTGGAGGGATCACTTCTATGGTTTATCTTACAAGGGTACAAGTGAACCTTTCTAAGAGTAGAATATGAACGTCTTAACACAATAACTAAGAAAATGACATGAAGTCAATGTTAACCAGTTCGATGGAAATATTTCAAATTGTATGTGCAAACACCACACTTTACCCCAGAATTGCATTAATATACATAGTTATCATTTAATAAAACAAACAAACAAACTGCTTACCTTCTTATAGTCAGATTGTTGCCAGCCAGGGAACCATTACAAAGCAGCCTACTTGCTCTGGTACAGAATATACTGCTGCCATAATCTAAATTCACTGCAGTCCCTAAGTACTGACAGCTGAAGAAAATCACATTCTCTTTCTCTTTCAGGATTTGCATTCTAAAAGGTGAAGGAGATGTAGTCTTAGATCATGGTTCCATTAAGTGGGAACACTTGGAATAAAGTACCTACACCGCTTTCCACATACAATGGAGAAGCCTCCGGAAACCAGCTGTTCCGTCCTGAGGCCAACCCTGGGCCTTCAGCAGGCGCAGACACCCTATGTGTTTGCAGGAACACCTGATTCTTCCCCGGCATTATCTTTGCTCTTTCTTAAAGGTGAGTTTGCACTTTTTACAGTTACCAGATTCTTCAAATCCTCAAAAATTTTAAGTGACTGTAATGCCAAAACCTTGATTTCTTTAACCTTTTTAGCTTCTGCCCTAGCAAATGACATTTCAGCATTTGGAAAAAAAAAAAATGTAAAAAGCATTCTGAAATCAGAACGTCTTCTTTCACAATTCAAGGAAAATGTCCAAAGTTCAAGTTCAGGTCTAAAATCGAACAGGGTACTAAATTTAGAAATATTAGATTTATTATAAAGCCAAAGATGACTTTTATTGCAGGGTCAGTACTTACTACATATTAAGTAATGATAACGTTCTATATATGGTCATACAAAAAAATTAAGATAAGGGGCTTCTGTGACAACTGCCTTCCTCCTCGTAGATAAAGCTGCCTCCATTAAGGACATTATTCCTATGCCCTCAATAAAGCTTCTAAAACTTGGCCCAGATGTGTTTTTGTGGCTATTCGAATCATGTGTGTTTATTTAGCTATTTTTATTATTCATACCGAATAATCTTCTTTTTCTTTGTCCTCGGTGATGACAAAATGTGCTTTGGATTTTTCGGTTCTAAAACCATAAAAGTTCCTTAATGAGTTTCAGACATAAGGCCACCCATTAAGAAGACAGGAGCGCCTTCTTTAATGGTAATTGTTCTACTGTGGCTGGAGCGCAGGACACACACCCAGGCTGGCTGAACACACCTGATAACACCCACCACAAGTAATTCCGACTCTACTGTTTCTCCTCTCCCCTGGCAGTAGATACAAGGGAACAGGAGTTCTATGGAATTGTTTTTATGGTTATTTTAGAATTTCACTAAAATTCTAAAATCGTGGCAGGGTGTGGTGGCTCACACCTGTAATTCTGGCCTCCTGAGAGGCCAAAGCAGATGGCTCCCCATGGAGCTCAGGAGTTCGAGATGAGCCTGAGCAAGAGTGACTCCCAGTCTCAACTAAACATAGAAAAACTAGCCTGTAGTCCCAGCTACTTGGGAGGCTGAGGCAGGAGGACTGCTCAAGCCCCTGAGTTTGAGGATGCTGTGAGCTATGACGCCAGGACAATCTACCCAGGGAGACAAAATGAGACTCTGTCTCAAAAGAAAAAAATTCTAAATCCTAACAGCTTTGCCAAGAATTGGTACCTCCTTGAGCTACCACATCTCTCTTTTGGTTTAAAAAGCCAGTGCACATGGCTTGGCGCCTGTGGCTCAAGCGGCTAAGGTGCCAGCCACATACACCTAAGGTGACAGGTTCAAATCCAGCCCGGGGCCGCCAAATAACAATGATGGCTACAACCAAAAAGTGGCCGGGCGTTGTGGCGGGCGCCTGTGGTCCCAGCTACTTGGGAGGCTGAGGCAGGAGACTTGCTTGAGCCCAGGAGTTGGAGGTTGCTGT